TAGAATTTAAATACTATATATTTAATTATAAGTTTTCTTTTAAAATAAAGTTATAAACCAAAATATTATTTTATGATAGAAAACATAATTAATATTTAAAAGAGGGAAAAAATGATTGGGCGGGATCTCTCCTGCAAGCGAGGGATGGGGTGACGTGTGGGATAATTAGTGGCTTGTCGTATTCGAAACCATTTTTTCAGCTTCGGGACATGGTAAACCTAATTCTAAATTACTAAATAATAACTAATAATTAATAACATAAAGTTTGTGGGCCCCCACCCCGCACCGTCGACGCGGCGCATGAGCCGTCGGATGCGGCTAATTACCTTTACAGTTACGCCTTCTTCGTTTCGGGATTCCCAATCTAATCATTCGATTGTAAGCCAATGTTCCTCGGCTCGGCCCCCCTTCGGCGCGCTGACTATGGGGATTAAAATTTTAAAATAATATGTTGCTAATTAGTATTCTGTTTTGTCACGTATTTCCAGCTATTATCGGTAATTATAAAAATAAAATGGGTAGAATTTTGATCGTTAATTCACAATTTTCTACTAAAACTTAAATAATGAGTGACGGAGGTGGAGTCTCTGTGTCGCCTTCTATTTTTAAATTAAACAATTATATATTAAGGACTTGGTTCAACTTTAGATAAAATTAATTTGTTATTTAATAAACGTTTTACTTTAAAAAAACTACTGTATAAAAATATATCTCCAACGAAATTACACAACTACTTGATAGGCTTTTCTGAGGAAATCCTACACGACAAATGAAAGTAGATTTGGTTCAATTAAAATGATCAGAAAAATCAACCAACCACTAATAATTATACAGAATAATACAGTAATAAATAGAATTGAAAAAAAAAAGAGAGAAAGATTAGAAAAGACCAGGAAATTTCTTAGAGATGACATGGGTAGAAACATTAGAATTGGATAAGTACTTGCATGACAATATTCCAACACACATCGAATATAAAATAAACTTTATTTTGGAAAAAGCTTAAGATATGATGCACCCTTAAACGAAACATAAATCCCAAATTAATAACAATAATTAAGAAAGAAAAAAGAGTAAGCCATATTTTATTTTTAGCTAAGTCAACGTTGAAGCCAAACAAGCTAAGCTACCCCAACCCAACACACCAAAATCCCTCACTTCCCACGCAACCAAGCTGTTTTCCCAGCCCACTAATCCAAAATCAAACCCCAATGTCAAACACTAATATATATAAAATCTAATAATTTAACATTAAATATATGGTAGTCACTTATTAATAAAAAAACATCAGCTTAGTGTAGATCTAGAGACACAATAAAGTTTTATAAATACATCAATCGCTTTTTTCACTGTTTAATTTTGAGATGAAACCTTATGAATATTAAGATGATGATATCACAGTTCACGAAAGTTATAATTTTGAATTGACATAGTTAAGAATCTCGTTCGTCCGAAATGTGTGTCTAACTTCAAATATTCATCCGAAACACCCTCTAATGTCATAACCTCTCGAGTTTATACTTTATACCCACCTTTAAGGCCCTCTAATAAAATAAAATAAAGAAGCATAACACATAATGTCATAATCTTTGGCTTTTGGATGACGCCATTTCACAAACACATTTCCATCGAAACTCTCCCCTCTCCACCATTTTAAAGATTCTCCCTTTCCCAATGCCCCCCGGCCCCTCCTATTTTCCTATAAATTCCATTCTACTTCTCACAATTTCCTTCCATTCACAACCCACTCTTTCTTTTCTTCCCTCTCTCCATTCCCATGGCTGAAGAGTTCCACGAATCCGACATCATCTTTTCCGACCACCACCACCACCGCCGCCGCGTTATCGACTACGGCGAATTCCTCGCCGCCGCCCACCGGAAGAACTCCAAAAAGAACAACACCAACAAGAAGAAGAAGAAGAAAGATTTCGCCGCTTCTTCTCTCCCCATCCAAATCCCGGAATCCATTTTCCGCTACACCTCCGACGCGGAGGAGCTGGAGGATGAATGGGACAGCGAAGACATAGTTCCGCCGCACGTGCTAATCGGGCGGCGCGTGGCCGGAAAAATGGCCTTCTCCGTCTGCACGGGCAACGGAAGAACTCTTAAAGGAAGAGATTTAAGCCAAGTTCGAAACTCAATTCTCCGAATGACGGGATTCCTAGAAACTTGACCCCAATTCCAATAATCCAAATTAATATGATTTCATTGTAAAAATCTCGACTTGTAAAACAAAAGGGAAGCCATTTTTCTTCCTTTTTGTTTCTCTCTCTCTCTCTCTCATTTTTTTTTTTTCGAATTGAGATTAGCCATTAGGATTCAAATGTAATAGTGGGGGGAAAACAAAAAAGATTGTGATTATTTGAATGTCGTATTTTGTTTTAGAATAATTAAAGTAAATCTGGCAGACGACAGAGGAGCCATGATTAAGGTTGAAGGAAGAGTTTTGTTTGTTTAATGTTGTTTGTTTTGTCCATATTAATTAACATCGGGGTTGTGTAATTTTTCATGTGAAGAACATAAAATTAATTATGTGGAGAAATGCATGTTTACAGATTGGGTGGAGCATCTGAATATTATTGTTAATATTTTTGGCAGAATTAAAAAGATATATGATAATGTATTTTTAAAAGGTAACTGGTTTTGGACAGTCCCAACATCAACAGCTAGACTTTCACGAGGAGAGAAAGATAGACAACATGTTTCATTATTAGGTCGTCTTTTCACGCAATAAATGAAACTAGGTTCTTCTTCTTCTTTTTTAATCCTATTTCCATTTCCATCTTTTCAAAAAATTTATTCTATTTTTACAATTAATTTATTTTATGAGATGACTATGTTTATATGAGAATCCTTCGACTTTATAAATAGGCCCATTTAAATTTCAGGTGATAGTTAGGTAGCCGTAGACTGACTATAAACTTAATATTAGAGAGAAAATAGAAGAAAAAAAAGCAAAAAGGATTACAATTTCAATTATATGATAGTTTGATATTTTTGTGAGCTTACGTCGTGATGATTTATATGATATTTTAATTAATGATTCGTTATGGCAAGGATAATCTATATATATTTTGGTTGTATGGACGAATTTGAAAATATAAAATATATTATTTAACTTAAAAGTTAAGATAAAACTACAAAATTTGAGAGCCGGTGTTCATGAATTTTAATTATTTTCATCTCAAAATAAAGAGAATAATGGATAATTTAAAGAAAAGAGAACGGAACAACAACTATAAATATAAAGAAAAAGAATATATAAAATAAATTGTAAACTGATTACCATAGAAGAAAGGTTTCGTTCTATATAAAATAAAATATATTTTATTTTATTCTAGACTAATATATAGTTTGAGTAAATAATAAGAATATTTATTTATTATGTATCATTTTAATCTTTTTAACACATCATATCAAATGTCAACATAAATGTCAACATGAGTATAGGACAATTCTAGATGATATTTAGGATTGTAAAACCTAGAAGATAATATTTTAAAAACTAAAAACTTTAATTTGAATTAAAAAGAAAAAAGCAATGCCCTTCACTTTAGAAAATATGAACAAAAAAGAAATATATAAATGTTGTATTCTTAAGACGATGACTGAAACCAAACATATAATTTGATAAAGAAAGATATTATTCAAACTAAAACTTCTGAGTTCCACGAATTTGTTTATTTGGTTGCAAAATTATTTAATAGAAGAAGAAGAACAAAGAAGGAAAAATACGAGTCGTTATCTTGACATCTCATTAAAAAATAATTAAAAAAAGCTCCAATAAAAAAAATTATCTGACAACGAAGCCACGTGTACATCCGACCAGTAATATTGCTCCACGTGTAAATGAAGCTGTTGGGAAAGTACCAGACATCTGGGTAAATGACGTGGCTCACTGCACGGCTACCGACTCTGTGAAGTATACAGACTGCAAAATTCAAGGCAGATAAGATTTCTTTACTACGACGCCGTATGGGTTGATTTCAAAATTCTGAAAATGTCCTTCCATAATTTAATTTAATGGCCATTTTTCCCTTAAGTCAAGAGAACTTTTATTTAATCCTCTAAAATTCTGCATTTAGAATAGATAAGTGATACTATTTAAAATATAGGCGTAATTTAGTTACTAGAAATCAGAATAATCGAAATGAAAATTTTTAATATTATTTACTATAATTCTTTTCTGAAATTCGAACAAGAAACTTATTAGGGTGTTTACTAAAATTGTAGAATAATTTTTTTTTGTTATTTTTCTAGCTAATTGTATGTTATATTATATATATATATATATAGGGTAAAGGAGAAACTTTCTCCCTCCATTTTGCATTTCTTTTTCTTTTAGTACAGCTTTTAATTTAAATATTCTCATTATTATTTTTGGTGCAATTTTGTCATTCATATATAAATTTTCTCGTATTCTCTCCCTCTCTCTTCCACTTTCACGTAACTTCTCCCAATTTCTCTTTTCACTTATTGTTATATTTTATTATTTTTCTTTCAAAATACTTTATTTTCACCTTTACCGATTATACTTTTCTCAAATATTCATTTCTCTCTAAAAAAGACTCTCTCTTAATCCTCTTATTATATTTCTTTTTCGTTCATTCTTTCTCCACCCATCCAAATTTCTTAGCCATTCATCTCTTCCTTTATTTTTTATCTTTTAAAATTCCATTTCACTTGATTTTGCCTTTAAAATGTGAAAATATGAACAATTTTATTATCACTTTTTACTTATGAAATTTGAAGTATTTTTTCCTTCTCCCTTTGAGGCCCATAATCTATAAGTATTAATTATGAAATTTGAAATGTTTTCTCTACCTATCCTTCTCCTTCTACTTTCTACATAGTTCTCGAGGCTTCTACGTATAAGATGAATCAGTGATGGTAGAATTAATCACGTGGAAAACCCCTCATCATCTCCCGATTAAGTTTTAGGTTCTTTTTGTTAATTTATCCAGACTAACAAAAATTTATTTACCCTCATAAAATTTTATGACAGTTGTTCTAGGCGGAATTAGAACTTATCACATGGGCTTCTTGCTAGAAGCACGTGTTTGAACCCAGCTCAAATAGGTTGAGGATGAGCAAGGTCAAGCAAAGTTACTTATAATAATTGTCCCAGCGAAAGTCCAATTTTGCATCGATTTGGAAGTGTGGGTGCCACAGGTATAAACGAAGCACCAAAATAGTAAAACAATGCTTCTCAAAGCTCTCCCACCGAAGGAGTCAATTCCTTATAAAGTTACATAATCCTATTCAACCTCACTTAAGTTGGCTCGACATCATTTCTAACTAACTTAAGCTTTAGGAATGTAGGTGTAGTGTAGTTCAGTACCACAATGATGTACAAGGTTCTATTTGCATGTCATTGTTTAAACTGATTGGGAGTATACTTCACCTTAAACACATGGAGTGACAAAACACAAAATTTTAAACGCTGATAAATGAAATAATATATAACAAAATTAAATTGGTCTCTTAATTTTAGATTATCTTCTTAGTGTGTGGTTGTGTTACATATCATCATATGAATTTTTAATTATTATTTGTCTTGGTTGTTCAATATCTAGAGGAAATGACAACACAATTTTTCATGTATTATCATCTCAACCTTACCTCGTATTAATTGTCCTCTTAATTTATATTCCAAAGGAGGAAAAAGAAGTTTAGGTGTACAAATCAATTAAAAAATATATATTTTGGTAGACTAATGAATGCAAATGAATCTCAAATATAGATTAAAGAAACAATTCTTACACTCTTTTGGATATAAAAAGGGAAAAGTGGCCAAAATCTTAGAAAACAAGTTGAAAAAAAAAGAGAGCATTGAGGATAGAAGAGGAAATATGAATCCTTTGATTAATCACCGCTTCATTTTATATCTTCTTGTGTTAATGGTGGTGATGAGTAAGTCATCCTCGGCAAGCTCAAAAGTTATGCAGCCACTAAGTCGATGGGAGGTGCTGATATATAATCAATTGGGTCAAGGCAAAACGTTATCGGTCCATTGCAAATCAAAGGATGATGATTTAGGTGACCATCTCTTACAAGCGGGTGAGACTTTCTCTTGGAAATTTAGAGAAAACATATTTCCAAGCACTCTTTTTTGGTGTTCTTTAAGAACCTCAACAAACAAATATGTGAAAATGGAAGTGTTCTGGCCAGAGAAACGACATACTTGGCTTATCCACCGATGCGGCCCTTATCATATTTGCATTTGGGTAGCGAAAGATGATGGCATTTACTTGATGAATTTGGGTAATTCGGGTATAAAGTTAGAAGAGTTTGTGCGTAATTGGGAAAATTAGTAAAGATTTAAGAGATGGAGTTTGTGCTTGTCCGATGATTGCTATTGTAGGGCTTCGTAGATACCTATAGTCATTGGGAATATATTTCTTTCTAATAAGTTGAAATAAATTAATACACATGGTGTAATTTCAACATGTTCTCCTTTTATAAATATTAATAAATATTCTTAATCGAAATTTGAGAATACTTTTTAAGAGTATTATTTTAAATTAAGTACTCCTAAATGTTTTTTAAGTTTTAACTTTTGCAAGTCATTTCTTAAACTTTTTGGGAGTCCACTCCACCCTCATAATCCTACCAGATTATGGGGTATATCTATTAATACACCAATTTTAAATGATGATAAATGAAATGTGTAATCAAATAAAATTGGTCTCTCTTCATTTTAGATTATCTTTCTTAGCGAGTGGTTGTGTTCCATATCATTTAATTTTTTACTATTTATTGCCTTCATAGTTCAATGCATAAGGAGAAATGATTTTCATGTATTATCATCCCAACCCTACCATGTATAAATTGTCCTCATAATTCCTATTCCAAAAAGAGAAAAAAAAACAATTTTGGTAGATTAATGAATGCAAACGAATCTCAAAATATAGAATTAAAAAAAATAATTCCTATTTGGTTATAAAAGGGGAAAAGTGGCCAAACTTTTAGAAAACCAGTTGAAAAAGAAAAGCATTCTAAATAGAAGAACAATGAATCATTTAGTAAACTATCACTTCATTTTATACCTTCTGATAATGGTGATGTGGCAAGCTCAAAAGTTATGGAGCCATTCAGTTGATGGAAGGTGGATGGTTTATAATGTATTGAGTTCACGCAAAACTTTATTGGTCCATTGCAAATCAAAGGATGATGATCTAAGTGACCAGTTGCTACGAGAGGGTGGGAAGTTCTCTTGCGAATTCAGAGAAAACTTCTTTTCAACCACTCTCTTTTGGTGTAATTTAAGAACCTCAACAAATAAACATGTGACAATAGAAGTATTCTGGCTAGAGAAACGACACGATTGGCTTGCGTACAGATGCGGCTATGAACATACTTGTATTTGGATGACCCAAGATGATGGCATTTACTTAGTGAATTTGCTTATGAATTCAAAAGAGTTTGTGCGTAATTGGGAAAATTAGTAAAAGATTTAGATAAAATTTGTGTTTGCTCGATGGTTGTTATTGTAGCGGGAATATAT